CAAGGATGCATTAAATTGATGAAAAATGACACTAAGACATTTATAATGTTTAATAATAATTTTATAATAATAAATAAAATAATAATAAACCGTTAATAACTGTTTTGAAACATTGATAATAATAAGAAATGTTTCTTGAGCAAATCAGCATATTAGAATGATATTTAAAACTGGAGTAATAATGCTGAAAATTCAGCTTTGCCATCACAGGAATAAATTACATTTTAAAATACATTGAATAGAATAATTATTTTAAATTGCTATATATATATATATATATAGCAATTTATTTTATTTAATATTTTTTAACAGGCTTTGGCAGAGAAGAGGTGTGGTATGTTTGACCGTAGTCCTATTTTCACTTTTCTCAATGGCTTACTCAACAGAAGGAGAACATCAACAGGTGAGCACAGGGGCTTCTACAGTATTTACCTACTGCTTTGATCTCCATTTTATAGCCAGAATTGTTGTATTATTAATGTAATTGAATTATTGTAATATTTCTTAAGGTCAGTTTCTTTCTAAAGCTTCTGTAAGGTAGTCATTTAGTTAGTATGTTTTTATTCACATGCTTTAGTAGAGAAATTATTACTCTGAAGCGTCTTGATTCTTGATGAACTTACAGTGTTTGTATTGTGTATAGTATGTACAGTACCTGGAGAAGAAGTTCCTGTGGTGCGCCTACTGGGTAGGCCTGGGTATTTTGTCTTCGGTCGGTCTTGGCACTGGACTGCACACTTTCCTTCTGTACCTGGTGAGAATTCTTATACTGGACTGCTGCATATATGCATGTATATGTGTGCCAAACGTTTAATCAACTTTTAGGAGTCTACTAGCATATCTGTGACCTCAATGGTTACAAACATGGTCTGAAAAACATCCCATGGGGTCTTTACATACAGTACAGGCAGATATTCCCCTAAATTAACTCTCAGGGGCCGTCTGTAAAAAAGGGAAGTGTATGTGTGGTCGATGTTCCACTGAAGTATATTAATAGTGACAGTGAGAGCATGTGCACCTCTGCTTCTCCACAGCAGATCTCGTAATCAGAACCTTTCACTAGTTTCCACTGACTCAGACTGGACTGTGAGACCGTGGTCAGTAGTATCCACTTCCACTAGCTGTGGTGAAAGTCACACCCCTTCTTTGTCACCATTGAACTCTAGTACTTTGTGCTCAGTTTGTTTTCCATGGGCGGCATTGTGAAAGAATGGGATGTGAAAGTGCGAATACGCACAATGTTTCACCACCAGACTTTTGTACAAAGATGAGCATTTTTCACACATCAAACTCAATTTTTATCTTTTTGAATTTGTAAAGGACAAAAACTATAGAGAAAAGGCTCACACAAAATAATAATTAATTTTTTAGGGCTTTCATAAGTAATAATTTATTTTTAGGTTTATGCCTAACACTTAATATATTTTACAGATAATATTTTAATATTATTTAGTAGAATGACTATAAAAGCCAATCATTTAATTTACTGAATAACATAGTCTTGCATAGTCTACAGTTCGAAAGTTTGGAGTTTGTAAAATGTAAAAAAAAAATGCTTTTGAAAGAACTCTCTTATGCTCACCAATCGTAATAGTTGTTTTATTAGATTTTAAAATAACTGTTTTCTATTTAATATATTTTAAAATGTAATTTATCCTTATAATGCCAAAGCTGAATCAGCATCATTACTCCAGTCTTCAGTGTCACATGATCCTTCAGAAATCATTCTAATCTGCTGATTTGCTGCCCAAGAAACATTTCATCTTATTATCAATGTTGAAAACAGTTGCGCTGCTTAATATTTTTGTGGAAACTTTTTTTTCTGGATTCTTAATTAATAGAGAGTTCAACAGAACAGCGTTTATTTGAAATACATTTTTTGTAAAGTTATAAATTCCTTTACTGTCACTTTTGATCAATTTAATGCATCCTTGATGAATAAAAACGTTCAGTAATTTTTGGTGGGTCTTTAGCATAAAAAAACCCCCTGTTTTAAACATTAATATAAGGAAACGCCTAATTTAAGGAAACCAGCCTGTCATTCTCATCATCTGCATCTCATGATTGAGTTTGCGAAGTGGCTTGTGTCAGGTTTCAGTGCCTGGGAAATGAACTCAATTGCAGTGAGTAACCAGATAAAACAGTCGCTGTATCAGGCTCTTTACTGTGACACTGTCATGAGCTCATTCCTCTGAAAGTGACTAAAAAGTGGTCCTGCCTGACTGACATCACCTCCGCCTGTAAAGATCCCAACAGTCTGCAGAGTAACTGAAGATCAATATTTTGACTGGGTTTAGGTTTAACAGGCTTTTCAGTGCAGGTTTTGGATATCTTGTTGCTTTATGGTCATAATAAAGCAACTTTTGAAGTGAGAAAATAAAGGTTTCCGGACCACTTGTTGCATCTGTATAATATTTTCTTCTGGATTAAGTTTGATTTGAATGGATCCGTTCACTAAATGGTACCACCTGAATCATTCTTGCCTCCTCCTGGTGAGCAAGGTTAATCAGATGTTAAAAATGGTAGATTGTCCAGTCTCCTCTCCCACGGACTGACCGACCGTGGGAATGAATGACATCAATGTCTGTTTTCACTTAGCAAATGAATTGTCATTCAGTAGGTGTTGCGGTTTTTCCATCGCACTGCATTGAGGTCACAAGCTTTTTGCCGTTGCATTGAACCCCAAGTGCTTTTGTGGTAGTTTACGTACTTGGTCAACGAACAATTGTTTATTTTACTTGTGGTGTACTAGTCTAAGAAATGTATCAAGCTGTGCATGTGACAGCGCTCATGGAAAAAAAAATGTTCATGCTCACATGAAGTATTATTTTAGTCTGTAAACATGTGATTGCATCATTTCCTCCAGGGTCCACACATAGCTTCTGTCACCCTGGCTGCATATGAATGTGGCTCTGTGAATTTCCCCGAGCCGCCCTACCCAGCCCAGATAGTGTGTCCGGAAGAGGAGGTCCTGCAGGAGAGCATCTCACTATGGACCATCATGTCGAAGGTTCGCCTGGAGGCTTGCATGTGGGTGAGTGTTTTCACAGCGCAGTCTTTCCCCATGAAGTACTAAAGCTGCTCACTTAAGGCACTCTCGAAAGTCAGAACTCATGCAAAGTGCAAAAAGCGATCACACTAGATTTTGTGGACATATTTCAGACCCTGCAACAAGTACGATGTCACCACCTCTGTATATATATATATATTTATATATTAAAACGTTAAAATTATTTATTGAAATATGTATAATAATTTAAATGTATATAAAAATATTTTATTCTTTTACAATTTACAGGAGAATATATTTAAAATATAACAAATATCTTTGTAATATAATAAAATGTTTATAATTTATAAAAGTGGATATTTTATTTTAACTTAAAATGTTGAAAAATGTAATATTTGTTATATATTTAAATGTATATATTATAATAAATTATATTATTTTGTAAGTGTATATTCATAATTTATTGTATTGTATAAAAGTATTATAATATTATTATTTTAATA